CAAGTTTAACAAGTGGCATTATCTAGTATCATTACATCGAAAAAATTCCAACAGAAATACTATCCGTATTCGACTACTATTCTTGCATTCATCTGAATTCCCCTGACAGTACAAAAATCACATTTTTTAATACCACAATGTTACAACAGGTGTCTATGAAGTACGATATCATACAGTAAGTTCAACAAATGCTCAATTTGAATAACATTTTTGTACCTTCGGTAATTATATTCAATCCTGTCATTTATATAATTCTTAAACGAATCCATTTAAACGGAAATATGTAATTTATGAGCTATATATTGTGCGTTATATATTCCACATCATAGCACATACAATAAATTATGTGTCCTAAACAACACATACAATCTTTTCAATCTGATAACAAGCTATGACTAGTATCATATATATGCAATGCAGGCCACAATGTCACTTACATCATTATCCATTGCCACAAGCTTTGCTATTGTAATAAACTCGATATCGTAATCACTAGTATAATTAATGAAATTTAAGCAGTCATGTATATGTATACACATAAATATGTACACATAAAAGTCGTACTATTTGAATTTAAATAATACTGCAGTTAATAGTTTAGACCTCAAATCCTAATTATACAAACATGTATCTTCTTACAGAAAAAGAATTAATCGCTATCCATTACAGCAGACTCCTTTAACTCTGATTCATCAACATAATGATTCTTCGAATTTCTTTCTTCTGTAGACTTTACACACTAAAAGAGTCCCAGTACTTACAAATTATAATAACATCGAATTGTTTTATAAAGCCAGTGTACTTACATCTTCAATTCGTATTCGTGGTGCAGAAATTTGTTCAGGGAAATGCCATGGTTTACAGTTTGGATTATTTAATAACTTCCAAGTAGGATAGGCCACAGAAGCTTTATGCAACTTTTTAACCATCTAAAAAATATATAGACATTAAAGTTTTTGTTATTTAAATGAAACCTTCATATTCCTTCTAATCTAAGAAAATGTATAGACCTTTGGTGCAAATATTTGTGTAACTTTATTGACTAGCCAAACTGGTAGTTTCCCATGTGGATCAGTATGAGATACGTATCCCAGCTCAGAACCATCCCCATTTCGTGACGGTCTTACAATGTATCCTTAAATTAAAAACGTAGGTAATAAAATTGCCAAAAATCTAACTTAAAGACTTTAATTTTAGTGTGACTACAAATTATACCTGTAAGATAAGATGTTGCTCTCACATACTGTTTTCTTGGTGGATAATCTTTGTGGAAAACAGAATGATTCAGAATTAGTTGTTCTATACCAGTATCAAGCCAAGATCTTTGCAGTATAAAATCTCTGTTTTTTAATGGAGATGGACAAGCCACTAATTGGAAAATATATAAACTTTTATTTAAAGCAACTACAAATAATATTGCTACACATATATTCAAGACTAAATGCTTACTGGAATAGTAACCAATATCATTATTTGGATTAAAAAAACCTATGTCTTTTGATTCGATCATATGGGTATCCCAAACTTTTCTATATTCAGGATCGTGTAATACATCATACAATGTTTCAGGTAAAACATCAGCAAAACGAGTTCTAATCTATAAAAGATTTCTTATTAATGACATATAGAAATGTATATGTAGTATAAATGAAATAAAAATAAAAATGTACATACTTTCACCATTCTGAAACTAATTCCTGGTACACATTTTGTCCAAACTGACAAATCAGGCTTATTGTAATCCAACCTCCAGTCATTATTATCATCATATAATCGTTTCAATTTCTCAAAATCTTTATCCTCGGCAATTTTAACAATTCCAATATCCATTTTATAAGTATGTACTATCTATAAAATGA